ATGACAAAAATTAAGCAAGTTATGAATTGCACAAGTTCGGGAATTTTGAGAAAATGCATTAACTCCAAATTGAGAAATTTGTAATTTTGGGCTATTGAGCCTAAGTTTTCAGGTTCAAACATGTTCTTAACATATTAGAGAACCTCTAAACCCATTCATATATTTTTTATGATTTTTATTCCTCTTATTATGATTTTATTCAATTTAAATCAAATAAAATATCCATTAAATCATGAGAGGTGCATGAATCTATTTTTGATCAAATCATGAGTCAAAAATCATATATTTGAGTTGGCGAAACCGTGTGAGCTCTTTGAATCAAATCTATGCTAAAATAGCAAGTTTTATACAAATTCCAAGTCAAATATTTTCACCATGAATTATCAAGATCTCATACAATTTTGTTAACCTAAATCCATGTCCTATAAATACACAAGACATTCATGCACTAAGGAGACGAAAAAATCTGCCTACAAGAACTCTCAAATATCTCAAAATTTCTCAAACTAGGGAAAACACAAGACCTTATTTGCATCCTCCTTCAATCACAACCAAGCATCCAAACGCATTCCTGAAGTTCCCAGAATCACTACCGAGCTAAGAAACAAGCTTGTCCACGCCGGGATTCGTTCATTCAAGCCACCGGTTTGGTAAAATTTCTCAATTACAAACTCTTAATTCTCACATTGTAAATCATTTATAAGCATTCATACATGTTCAAATTGATGTTTGGAATGTTTTAGAAACATTGCTTCTGAGGTTTGATGCAGGGATAAGAAAATTCCATTATTAGGGCGTAAAGCTCTGACTATCGTATCTCCCTTTACAGGTGTTTTCAGGCTAAATAGAGGAAACCACTAAGTTCACAGACCCCTATTTAGGAGGGGGTAGGCTTAATATCTGTTTCAAATCATGCTATTTTGCAGGATGAGGTTTTTGATAACCGGAGAAGAAGGTGGTCAAGCACCGTGTATGGTGGTTTGACCCTCCCTGGGCTGCATGTCGTCCCTCTATTCGCCCATTCAAATACCTAGACCCCACTCATGCACATGTTTTGTGCTTTATGATTTTTTTAATATTCATGTTTATTATATAATGATTTATTGTTAATTGAACAACAGATGAACAACATAACTCAGTTGGCAAGAAAGCGCGCGTGTATTACGAAGGGCATGGGTTCGATCTTGGCCTTTTTACATTATTTTTGCTTATTTTACAAACTAACGCGCAAGTTTTCAATATATTATACAACGCCTATTCTCAAACACCAACAGACGTTTGGCCTAGTGGCAAGCAGTGTAGCATGAAAGCCAGGAGGGCATGGGCTCAACACCCACCCCATGCAATCTTTTTTCCTATTTTCTCTTTTAACCTAATTTGCTTTATTTTTTCTTTTTCTAACCCTAATTTTTTAATTAATCAATTATTAGACTAACATAATTTTTTCTAATACTAATGAATTAGGTTTAGGATTTTTAACTAACATTTAATTTTCTTGATTTATTTAATTAATTAATCAACCCTTTTTTTAAATATTAAAATCAATTAGAATTTAGCTTTTAATTATTTATATCATTCAAATTACTTTTCACAAAAAATACAAAAACATTCAAACATTTTCTTATTTCTTTTGCTATTTATTTTTCTTAGAGAAATTGTATAGGTCGCATAACTTTTCCTTGTAATACCGTAGATTTACATTCTCACATTTTTACCTATTATGTAACTGCTCACAGGATGTAATAGCTTAGGTTTAAATTCTACACTTTACTTTCCGACATTTTCTTATGTAACTGCCCCAAAGCCCTGTAATAGCTTAGGCCTTTACTTTCCACACTTTAATTTTTTGTATACTTTATAATTACTAGTAAATAAGGTTTGTATGGAAAGATTAAAAACAATCGTAGAAAATCCTAATTCTCAAGATAACATAACTGAACTGAACACACTTTGACTAACCCATTGCGCCAGTCTCCATGCAGCAATGTGTGAAATCTATGATATAACTCATTGCCTAAGTCTCCATGCAACGTTATAGTTATCAAGCTTTTTTCAATTATCTATCCCTTAGATTGCGATAGATATGCGAATAAATCTGTGTAATCCATTGCATCAGTCTCCATACATCAATGTATTATCAAATTGTGTTTTATTTATCAGCTAGGTTGTGATAAATACACAGGTTCCTCCTCTGCGATATAACCCATTGCGCTAGTCTCCATGCATCGATGTGAGAAATCTGTGATATAACTCATTGCGTTAGTCTCCATGCAGCGATGTTGTTATTAAGCTTTTTCAATCATCTACCCCCTAGGTTGTGGTAGATGTGAGAATTGTGAAGAAGTGAAAAACACAAGAAGGGGGGGTTGAATTGAAACTTAAAATAAAAAACAATAGACACGGTATTTTTATCTTGGTTCATTTGATCTCAAACTACTCCAGTCCACCCGCCAAGGTGATTTCGCCTATCTCCAACGAGGACTTAATTCACTAATCAAATCTGATTACAATACTACTTTGGCAATTGCCAAAGTCTTCTTGAGTACAACCACAACCCGGTTTATCTCAAGGAAAACTAGCTTAATCAAAATGAAATAATATACTGTGTACTGTTGTTTTTCCTTACAAAAACTGTATCACAATTGTGATATTTTACACAATTTGAGCGTATACGAGAATATGAAATATTGCAGCGTTTTTGAGGTATATGCAATAGTGTGTCCAAATCGTGAACGATTTGTCCTTTAAGCTTGTTTATATAGGCGTGGAAATCTTGTCCAACATAAAGCGTGATAATGGACACTCAATGCTATTTCCATATTGAGAAGATTTTTGTCTGAATGAAGCCTTTGCATATGATGTTGTCTTAATGGAAAAGTAATGCTTCAGAACTTAGAATCTTGCATGCTGCAATTGCTTCAGAACATTGATGACTCAGAGAAGTGAGGATCTGATGATATATTAGACTTCTGTTCAGAATCAGAGTATTCTTCACTTCAGCGCAGATTCTGATCATCATTCTTTAGAACATTCTGATTACCTCAGCTTTAAAGCTCATGTAGCTTAATTTCTGATGCTATTTCAGTCAGAACTTCTGCATACAAAATAACACAAATTTAGAGTGCATATTTGTTCTTTGTGTTTGTTATCATCAAAATTTTAATTAAGGGTTGTAGAATCAAACTATGTTCTAAGAAATTGTTGTTTCATATTATTTATTCCCTAGTTTGTAATGAATATGTGAATTCATCCGCAAATTATTTACTCCCTCGGTTGTAGTAAACATGACGAAGTCGGCAATATAACTCATCGCGTCAGGCTCCATGCAGCGATATTGTTATTAAAGCTTTTTTTCCAGTTCAATTATCTATCCCCTAGGTTGCGATAGATATGCGAATAAATCTGCATAATCCATCGCACCAGTCTCCCAGCAGCAATGTGTTATCAGACTTTGTTTTATTCATCCCCTAGGTTGTGATGAATAAACAAAATCAAATCAAATCAAAACTTACTATATTAGTCTCCAAGAATTAGTAAGTCAACTTTTTTGAAACTTCTATTTTTGTAAATATGCAAAAGAATCTACAATCTCTTAGATACTGATGAATTATCTGTGTCATCATGTCTAAGTTCTATCAAAAATGAAACTTTGGTTCAAACTCTGGTAGGATGATACATCATCATCATTGCCTATTTATTTTTGTTCAAATTATGGTAAGGTGATACATCATCATCATATCTAGTCAATCTTTGGTCAAATTTTGGGGTCTTCTATTATTTAATAATCTTCCGATTCGAATGTGCGAGACTTGCGCATTCTCGCACCATTCAATCGAAGAGTGATTAAATAGGGGCAGCTGTCATACCCCAAAATTCCCTTCCCTTTATTTCCACGGTCAAAAATATTTTCAACATTGGTTTTATAATATTGTTTTGATCTTTATAAATATTCACTTCCAAATCTATTTAAAAATATAATGATTTATTTCAGATTATTTATATTTTTGAATAAATAAATGTTTGCTCATCTCGATGTACTTTCAAATGACTTTTTATTTTGAATAAGTAACATAACACAATTGGTGAAGCTTGCAAATATGAGGTCGAAGGTTTGAATCTTTTGTATTGCATTTTTTATATTTCTTTTTGTTGCTAATTTTCTATCCTTTTATAGAGACCAAACTATGAGAACCCACAATTCATTAGAGTTATTATTCTACAAAATTCATTAGGTTTGAATCTTTTGTATTGCATTTTTTATATTTCTTCTTGTTGCTAATTTTCTATCCTTTTATAGAGACCAAACTATGAGAACCCACAATTTATTAGAGTTATTATTCTACAAAATTCCACAATTGCACGGATCTAGAATTTCACAACCACCCACAATTCATTAGAGTTATTATTCTACAAATCGAAGAATAATTTCTTTTTCGGTTGGCGTTTTTCGGCCGAGAATTTTAATATGAGGTCCCTTTCCAGTTTATTTTCAATTTTATGATTTTCAATTTATTTTGTTATTTGATATACTATATTTTGTTTCTCTTGTCTCTATGCTTTTAAATATATATATCTAAATGTTTTTTATACTAACTCAGGTATATAATTTCCTCAAACAAATACCCATAAGTGTCATATTCTCAATACAAAACTACACACATTAAATCTCTTTTTTTACTGTACATAAATCATGTTTTTTTTTTTTATTTACACTTCTTTCATAAATCAACACATAACATTTATCTCCATAAACACTCTCACAAAAACAACCTTCCATTGTACATAATTACCACAACAATCTGTAAACTATGATATTAGCTTCACTAAACATTTTCAACATCACAACTTCACCTCCACTTCAACAATTCACATAATAAGCAATAACCTGTATAATACAAATTCAAACAATAAAACAGAATACAAAGTTTAATTTTGCCTTTTGCAGGAAAATGCACAGAATAAAAAAAAAATAATCTGAAGCAGATGCCAAAATCTTTCTCATGGCAATGAATACAGACGCAAGATCAGAATCTTTCACGGTGAACTCCGCCGTGAAGAGAAATCGAGCAACGCATATCGATGTCACCTTTGAACCGCGAGCATCACTACCAACTCAACAGCCGCTGCAAATCGCACAGCCCAGCCACGACCACGGTGGCTCTCCGCACCGTACTCTTCGCCGGAACCATCAAACAACAATAGCGATCTTCCATCCTCTTCGTGATCACATCCGTGACATCACCATCATTACGGTTGAACAGACCCCTTTGTTTGCATGGTAATTTCCTAATTTATCTCATTGATTCAATTATAGGTTTTAGGAAACAAAGGAAAGGAAGATTGTAAGAAGAAAGAGGAGAGCATATCGTGAAAGAGGATAGCAGAAGAAGCACAATCTCTCTCTTTGGGTATCATCTGCCCTAATTTACCTTTTTTTTTTTTTATAATAATAATTTTTTTAATTTGTAATGGCTACATATGATTGGTTGGTGCTTTAAATTGAAAGGTAAAAAAAGAACTCCCCTATGGAGCAACGTCGGCGCCGCCTGGTATTTCTCTTTTATCATTTAATTTTTCTTATTACATATTTGTATGATAAATTAGGGTTAGTCACTTGGTTTGGGCGTTGGGCCATATCTTTCCACATTTCTACTCACCATAATCCCAATTATTCAGCTTGACACCCCATCTCATTGTTCAATTAGTTTATTCAATAATTTTGAATTAGTTACTGATCTAACCTGATCAGACTTGGACCGTCACGGCTGACTCCGAACTGAAGTTTTGAACGAGGTGGAGGTACCTGCAAGGCACTCTGATGCTGAAGTAAGTAAGAGCACGAGCAGGCAATAGTATGAGTGTGGGTAAAAGAATGAATACCCGACCCTCTGGGAACAGAGGGTATTTATAGCCCCTAGCGCTGGGCCAAGGTTCCTTCATTGGGCCGGGGAGGTTTGGCCCAATGGAGGAACTGCCAGGTTCTACGTGCGTAGTGGGGACCCGCACGTGGTCCCCTTCCTGGATGTTCTGCGTGAAGTACAGACGGACGAGGACGCGGTCTTTTCGGGATCCAGGTGGTGGCGTAGTGGATAGAGCCTGTCCAGGAGGAGTGCTCGAGCTGAGGACGAGCAGGTTAGCGTGGAGTCGAGGACGGCGTACTAGCAGGAGATGTCGGGCAATGATGTCCCTTCTGGTCGGCGTGGCCCTTCGCAAGACCGTTTGGACTGGGCCTTTACCATTGCTTTTGGGCCAGCCGGGCCCAGTCCAGAACAGGAGCCCCCTAAGTCGTGGTTCCTGTAGTAGGAGCCATGGCTTGATCTTAGGTCGCCTGCGTCGCGGGGTCCCGTTCCCGGCCAGAATATGTCGTTCTTGTGACTTACTCGAGGAGTTTTTCTCGTGTCGGGTATACGAGATGGTGCCGTGCGAGGAGCGCTCGGGGTCTAGACGGACTGAGGTAGTCGGGCACCTGAGGTATCTCTTGGGAATCGTGTCGACACCCTACTGACGATAGGGTCATCATTGCCTAGAGGAGCTACATGTCGAGGAGGGAAGTTCTGTGGTTCCCCGAGGTGACGTTTGGTATTCCACGTCATCACTATAAATAGGTTGTTTGGGCCCCAGAACGTGTTTTCCCTGTTCGCCCTTCTCCTCTGCACTCTGTTCTTGCTGTTGCTGTTCTTCCCAGATACTCATAGGATCGCCGTGATCTCCGTCGCTGATTTCCTTTCTGATTCCAAGTAAGTGCCTTGTCTCCTTCGTTTTTCCTCCGTGATGCATGATTTTCATTGTTTCCAAATGTTTTTAGAGACTGTAAGCCTGGGATTAGCCCGGTAGATTTAGGCTTAGCTCGACAAATCCATGTTTATGCCCGGCGAACGCATATATGCGCCCGGTAAACGCATAATTTAGGTATTTGACTCGCAGTGCTGCCCGGGGTCTTCATGACTCAGGGCGCCTAATTCTTGATAGTGCCCGATAAACTCATAGTTTTAGTTTTGAGACCCATGGCGTCGCTCGACACGTTCGTAGCCTTAATCGACACATTCGTGAGTGGTCGAGATGTTGGCCTATTCAGGAGGTCTGTGGGGAGACTTGTCGTGGTAGCTGGAGTCGGGGAGGTGACTGCTCTTTTTGTTTTGAAACACCAACTTTGTGGTCGCGCGTGGAGCGACGTGGTTTGCCGTGCCCTTCATTTCGTCCATTATGGCGAGCGTGTGGTTTCGCTCCGAATTGATTGGTTTCCCGTGCTTTGTAGGTAACCATGGCGGATGAACCGTGCTCTTCAGGGCGCGCCGAGGTGGAAGAACAAAGTGCTGATGAAAATGTGAATTTGGTCGACACTATAGAGGATCCTCTGCTCGAGTGGGTGGGTGCCGAGCCCAAAGGGATAGCTTCGGCCTATAGTCAACGTAGTCGAAAGGCATACACCATCCTCGAGGCGGGTAGTGGCCAGCCCAGTCTCCAGAAGAACTTCGTCGTCACTCGACCAAATTTCAACGCACGAATCTGCTCGGAGTTCCCCGAGTACGGATTCCCCATGTGTGAAATTGCCTTTAAGGACCTTGGGTTACAGATGCCCTTCAGCAATTTTCAGGTCGGGGTCTTCAACCATCTGGGGCTGGCCCCATCGCAGCTTCATCCAAATTCGCCCGCTTTCATCCGGGCGTTCGAGCTAACTTGTCGGTTTCTAAGGATTGGGGCGACCATACCCCTCTTCTTCAGAGTCTTCCACCTACAGCGCCAATCCCGGGGAGGTAAGCATAGCTGGGTTTCCCTGAAACAGTCGAAGAGACTTTTCAGGATGTACATGGATTCCGTGCGGGGGTTTAAGGACAAGTGGTATATTGTGAGGCCGGTGATCGAAGCAGGTTTAGAGTCGGTGTATGAGGAGGAAACAGTCATAATCGACGATCACGGGGAAGCCCTTTTGGACGACGAGGGACACCCGGTGTTAGGGCGCGTGGCCAAATTTCCCTTGCATTGGACCTCGAGGCATTACGAGCATGGGACCGGATACTACCATACGTCCGTGGGCGAGATGAGCTCCGAGGATGAGAAGGCTTATGGTACTCTCTGTCGGTGCGTCGACAGTTTCTTCCCCTCCAGATGGGCCACGAGGGAGGGGGAGGACATCCTTGACGAGGAAGGTTATCCGACCTTCGAGGCCCGACCGATTGACATAAAGGCACTTGTGGAGTGCCAGTCCTTCGGGCAGGCTGCGAGTTTGCTAGGTCGTTTGTGGTTTTGTCTTGTTTGAATTTCTTTATTTGTTATTTGTTCGCCTGTTTGCTCGCCACTAACCCGGGGTTCTTTCATGCAGGTTTGATGGCCGGACGAAGGGAGAGGCTCTTGAAGTTGTCCTGTGACAGGAAGGTGAATAAGAGGGTGGTGAGACCCCCTCAAGCGACGAGGATGGGCCCGCCACATAGCCCGGGCATTTCCCAGGCGACGAGGGTGGACTCGCCACCTAGCTCGGGAGCTGCTTCAGGAGGGATTCCGGATGTTCACGAGGTCGAGCCACACACCGACCTGATACAGAGAAAAAGGAATCGGGTGGAAAGTCAACCAGAGGTCGGCGAGGACTCCAGCACTGTGAGGTCCTTCGGGTTTCCCCCTTGCTTTAAGGAGGAGGGTTTCTTCGAGGGATTTCCCTTGTCTGTGAGTCCCGACGAAGCTGAAACCATCAGGCGGATGAACAAGGAAAGTCGGAGAAGGCACCTGGCCGCCAATATGGCCGGGCTGGTGAAGATGGTCGAGATGGCCGTTGTACTGGCCGAGGAGGGGGAGGACGCTGACCGTATCAAAGAGTTGGAACAGGAGAAAGTCGCTCTCACCTCGAGCTCGCGAAAGTTGAAGGCTGCTCTGGAGCGCTTCGAGGAGATGTTCCGCGAGCAAGCCGAGCTACTGGCGACGGAGACAGAGTTATTGGCTCTTGAGAAAGAGAGCTCGGGGAAGCTGGCCGAGGAGAGGGACCTTTTTCGTGCGGATCGTGAACGACTGGAAATTGACAACGGGCGCCTCGCCAGAGAGATCGAGGACCTAAAGGCTGCTATACTTCCTGCCGAGGATGAGTTAGAGGACACAGTCTTCTGAGGAGTCGATCGGAACTGGTCGCTCGTATCCAACTTCTCGAGGGGGACTGTGTCGGAGCTATGGTGGACGGCTTCGAAGCCGCGGTCAGCCAGCTTTCCTTGTTGAATCCCGGCCTGAATACTGAAGGGGTGAGCCATACGTCGCAGATTATCGATGGTCAGGTCGTGCCTCTGCCCGACTCTCCTGTTGTTGGTGATGGTAGCTCGGGGGAAGCCGAGTTGTGAGATAGTGATGGGGCCTGCGCGCCTCATTGATGTTTGTTTTGGGCCTGCGTGCCTGTTCACAATTTTTGGGCCTGCGTGCCCATTCTTTGTATTCCCTGAATATTGCCGGCCTTTTTGGTCGGTTTACATCTATTTGCTTTGTTGCCTACGGGCATTTTGAATGAATGTTTTGTTTCAATTTTGATTGTTTGCCCGTGCTTGTGTTTTATAACTTTGCGCAAAAATTGGCCTAAGTTATGGGCCCGAGGTTTGCCCGTATATGGTTGTGACTTTGTTGGCAAATTTGCCTAAGTCTTTTGTTCGTGTATGTGCTCGGCCTCTTCTTGATGGCCAGAGTCGCCTAGGTGGTGAACTCGAGGGGATAGACTCCTTTTTTACCCTTTTAGATGGCCCGACGTTCTTGAAGATTTGTCGGGCAGGTGGAGCGAAGCCGCTTGGTCGGGTACATGACCCGGTCGGGACTATTTGCCCGCGGCGTGAACTGCCCATCGCGAGCTGGGTGTTCTGCCCTACATGTACTTCGACAGTGGAGCTCGGTAGAGGTGTCCACGTTGGGCGTTATCATTTGTTCATATTTAAACGATGTTGTGCAGTTTGGACGTAGGTCGGGCCTGTACCTCGGCCTCTCTACGGGGTCGGACGCTTCTCCTCGTTGACTGGGCGCGGGAGCCGACAGCCGAGGGTCCTCAGTGTTGGTGGTTTTCAACTATAGTACTGCTTTAGTTTAGCAGCATTCCAGGATCGTGGTAGTGGCTCTCCGTCTAGTTGTTCGAGGTAGTACGCCCCGGTACCAGTGGTGTCGTGGACGCGATAAGGCCCTTCCCAGTTCGCGGCCATCTTCCCTTCGCAGGAGTCTTTTTGGTTCCTTCGCAATACCAGGCTGCCGATTTCGAACTCGCGCTTAATGACCTTGTCGTTGTGGCGCAGAGTCACTCGTTATTTTAGGGTGGCTTCGCGCAGGGCCG